CTTAATCTTTTAATACATTTTATTCCAGAATAAGTGTCTGCATATGGAATTATTTTTGATGAAATGCCATGTGTGTGGAAAAGGGTATATAGGCCAAAGATAAAAATCAATATATTGTGAAAGGTATCACAGACTTGGAACCAAATAAGAACTAGCTACCATACAACTAAAGTTTTGTATAGCTCCATCCATACAGACTGAATCCTGAAACAGCATTAAATAGTATACACCATATAAAAGGAAGAGAGAATTGGCAAAAGGATAGGTCTACATTGCCAGGAGGAAAATGTGTGCTGTTGAGACTTGCAATGAAATTAAGTCATTGGGGCAAAAAAGATACAGAAAGACTGACCTAAATGGCAGAAGCTGTGCAGAAGAAGGCTCTTCTATAACAACAGAGATATGCTAGATGAGATGGAACAGTCGGGAAGTGGGAGGCAAATCCATAGGGAGAGCTGCACTGAGATCATGGGCTTCGTTTCATACACTGCGCTGAGTTTGTGGGCTTCATACATAAGAAGGGCATTTCTGAAGTGTTCTCTGAAATGAATAGGGAGCCAATGGAGAACTGTCTGTAGGTGAGAGTGGGGTCATGACATCCTTTTGAAGAGTTCCATGCTGGTGGAAAAATGAAGCCCTCCTCAGAAACTAAAGAATTAAATATCAAAGTTTTCTGTATTATCACCCATACCCAACTTAGGGAATGGAACAATGTATATGTCTACGCTGCACAGCTATTTTGGGATACCAAAAGTACTCCAAAATAGCAACCCTCCGTGTCTTAACAAGTCGCCTGTTATTTCAAAATATTTTTCAAACTAATAGGTTTGCTATTTCAGCATTCAAGGGATGTCTTGAAATACTGCATTATTTTCAAATTTGGCACTGTGTAGAAGCGCCAAATTTCAAAATATTCTATTTTGAAACAGAATCAAAATAAGATATGTAATTTGCATAGCACAAATTGCGTATCTTATTTTGAGTTTAGCGTGCCATGTAGTTAGGGTTGCCAGATGGTTTCAACAAAAATACCGGACACACTTGACATTGCATCACAAGCTACATTACATCTTATTTAGAAAATACCGGACATTTATATTTTCTCATTTATATTTTCCCAATTTGTTTCCTGAACAACAAGCTCAAATATTGGACTGTCTGGTTCAAAACTAGACACCTGGCAATCCTATGTGTAGACGCACCCTATAAGTTCATGCAATATTCCCTTCACTGCTTAGAGCAGAGCTAAATATGGATTCTCTGATAACTGGAGGAGTTACAGACTCTAATAAATACCATCTATGTCTGTACTTGATAGAAAGGAATCTATTCCCCCAGTTTTATAAAATATTGTTAAGTTGATGAGACATCTTTCAGTAAATGTTTGTCTCACAACCTGGAATCACTTCAAAAGCTATTCCACTCAAAGTGTGGAGGAGGCATGTTCTGTTTTATATTACGTTCTCCCTGTTCATGAATTAGAGGGCTTCAATCTTTGGGGTTTCAGTCCAACTCCTTTTCAATGCACGTAACTCATTTTGAAAAGAATGATTATTTTAACTCTGTGTATGCAGCGTGTTCCTAACATCTTTTCTCCTCTGCATTTCTCTCCTTTTCAGATTGTATTTTCGAAACCAGGCAAAAGGTGAGACAGACAGAGAGCGGTTGCTGCTGGCTTTCCAGATTAGCTGTGAAATAGCCAATGGGAGGTTCCCTGTTAATAAGGAGCTGGCTCTGGAAATGGTGGCTTTGATGGCTCAGGTGAGCAACCAGCCTAGTGTGCTGTTGGATTGAGTTCGGATGTGAGAAGTGGTATAGAATATGGCTGCCAGGGAATTGATCACCATAGCCTTTGCTTTGGACTATCTAAAGAGAAAGATGTTGTACCTTGTGATGTTCTTTCTCCAATGTCTTTACTTCTGTTACATAAGAAACCTGGTGCAGAAGGATAGGAGAAAATCCATGCTCCTTTCCCCAGAAGCTACAAGTGACTGCCATTTTCATGTGCTCTATTGTACGGCTAAGTCCAGTTGTCCAGTTAGTCGGGCTGTACATCAGCCAAACTATAAGTTGCATTACCTTAATTAAGCAATTATGACCATTCTGCCAGCAGTCTAGAACCTTACTCAAAAAAAGCATGTTGCAGGGTCCTAAATTAGGCCTCCATAGATAAGTTACATGTACCGTGTTACCATTGAGGGTTTATTCACGTTGTGTGACAAGTGGTGTGTGACAGGAGAGGTATGTGTAACGGGACTTTAACTGACTTGCTACATTGGCTAAAGCCAATAATGAGTCTGTTCACTAAGTGTACGTCTACGCAGCAATTTTATTTAGAAATAACTTAGTCCATGTCTACACAGAAGGCAGTTATTTCAAAATAATGTTGAAATACTGTCAAGCTGGAAGACTTCTTACTCCAACTCCTGTAACCCTCATTGTACAAGGAGTAAGGGAAGTCGGAAGACGAGTGATCTATATGGAAATAAGTGCTGTGTAGACGCTCCCAATTTCAATTTCAAAATAAGCTACGCAATTGAGATAGCTCAATTTGCATAACTTACTTTGAGTTAAGCCCTGCTGTGTAGATGCACCCTAAGATAGTAAGAGAAAAATACCCCAAAGAGCATATTTTTAGTCACTGGCAGAGGACAGACTCTCTATGTTGTTTAAGCAGAGTTTGAGCACTGCAGGGAAGAGGGAGGGGGAAGTGATACAGGAAACCAGTTGCGACTCTGATCATCATTCAAGAGTAAGTCAAAACTGCAGAGAAGCAGCTTTCATTTGTGCCATTGGCATAAAGCCTGCCTGAGACCTTATCCCAGTGAGGAAACCCCTCTCCACTCATCCCATGGCGTTTTTTTTCTAGATGGTCCCTGACATGCTCGGAATTATGGGGGATTCTACTAGCAGAGTTCCCCTAAGCAAGGAGGAATTTCCACCAGCCACCTCTTGAAACTTTGCATTGCAGCAGACTGGGAAATCTTGCTTATGTTGTTTACAAATAAGCTGGTTTCTTATTGGTCACTTAAAAAATAAAAAGCAATACATAGGGGGTCAGTTTTCCAGCACACAGAGTGGCTGGCCCAAATTGTGTTTTACCCTTCACAAAATAAGAAATTTCCTGGGCAGGCCTATCCCCAAGAGTCACTTGCTATGTATGGAAAGGACACTGGTGCAAGAACTTGTCATTTTTCACTGTGCTATAAACTAAACCTCCTTAACTTTCTGTTGCAGGTGGAATACGGGGACTCGGATCGACCAGTATCTTCAAGTCCTGGTGGGACCCCACAGTCCAAAATGCAACATATTGTCCAACAGGTCTTAGACAAATTCTATCCCAAACGCTACAAACAAAACATTACCCCTGAGCATCTCAGGTGAGACTAAATCTGACTTGCTTGATTATATAAAACTTTTCAGGGGGAGAGCAGAAGGTCCTCAGGCCAGGCTCCTGGAAAATGAAAAACACCAATTAATGATCACCTGTGAAAAGTTTGGTTAAAATGACTTGCCTCAAGGCATGGACTCTGTATTCTGTCTGTACAGATCTGAGAACAATGGAGTCCTGATCCATGACAAGGACTCCTAGGTGCTGCTATGATAATAAAATAATAATAATACTTCCCACAGGAACTCTGTAGAAAGAAAGGGATAGAGTCCAGTTGTCTGGGGCAACAATTTCTGCAACAAAAGACACAGGAGTCCTAGGCAACAGTGTTCTTCACAACAAAATCCTGATCAATGCCCACAGTAATTCCTTCCTCTGCCCTGAATGAGGCAGGGGTCTTGTGGGGGGAAAAACATTTGTCATGCAATTAAAAATTATATCATACTAAAACCAACAACCTCAATTCTGGCATCCGCTAGCTATTGATTGCTTAGTTTCACAACCTTAATAATATTCTTCTAATGTGGTTTTTATATGTGTAATTTCCTAGCTTTTAAATAAACCAAAGTGTATATACAGAAATGTCATCCTCCAGCATCATACTGACACCCTCAGGGTTCATCAGCAAAGTTGGAACCTTTAGAGCAGGGATAGGGAACCTTTTTTTGGATCGGGGCCACTGACCTACAGGAAGCCCCCCCCCCCAAGCACAAACAAAAAACTCACC